ACACCTGTGAAGTGGGCGAGGGCGCGTCCTGTTTCGGAGCAGATGCGGACGTCCCTGAAACCCTACAATGTCGAGTACGACACAAGAAATAGCATACATTACCTCTTGTATCACTCGAGCTTCACAAATAGTATGAGATAGCTGTGCAAATTTCTGGAGGAGCATAGATATTTGTCGCCGGTAGAAGCAGTGTCTCAGATATTTGTTAGCGGCCAAATATCTTCCAACTGAATATTTGGATGTGTGGACGTGTGCCGTGTTGTGTGCCTCAGGACACAGGGGGGGAAATACTCAGATATTTGGCAAATATTTGGTGGAGGGGGACCTCCCCTCACTCCTACCTACATCTAACTATTTGAGGTTTGCCTTGAATATCTGGGAGGGGCATCCCTCCAACTGTCTCAAATATTTGGAGGGGCCACTATAACTTTTGGGCCAAATAATTTGCGTTTCACTATAACTATAAGGATCAACAAATTTATCTAGTGTGTACTGGTGACAGCATACAGTGGTCGCGCTCGTTTGTGACCCCACAGCGGTGACCGTTGGGTATCATTGCCGATCATAGCAAAATCTGTTGTGCTAAAAACCCCCTCGATCCACAAAGCCCTTCCACCACAGTGTGACGAAGTCTCACCTTGCCGAGGGGTCCACGGGTACGCTCTGTCGGGTATATTCGAGGACTCGAGGAGGGGTTACCCCACCCGTGTCCATCCCAAGGCTCTCTTGGATAGTTGAAAGGTCGATACTAGAGCCTTCGCTCCCCCAAGCCCTGTAGACCTCAAGTCCGAACACTCCAATCCGGCACACCCTCCTCCCGTATCTCGACCTCGTGTTCGAGATTTTGACCCTCCATGCATGCACTGTGAGACAGAGGGCCGTGGAAAACCCCGGATAGGCAGCCGGGAAACATACTCCGAAACCTCGGTTATACCGGGCTTTTCGGACGAGGAAAAAGGACACTCAAATGACCGATTTCGACGGTCGATTTGGCGTGGTCTTGGACAGGAGATAAACCCAGGTTTGACCGTGGGTGGGAAAAGCAAGATTTACACCTGCGAAACAGGGGGAATTGCGCGATTTCCCAGTGCTAGATCCTAGCTCACCGCGGGATTTCACTCGTAACGCAGTGCGATAATGCCTAACAACACGCTGCAGAATGCAGCCCTGCAGACTTCTTATTCGCCACAACCTCCTCGCGACTCCTGCAAAACATTCACACCGACGCTGAGGACACTTCTGGGAGCTCGAAGGGACGGAGTCAGACATTCAGAGAAGTAGCAGGGAAGACTCAACTGGCCCTAGGAAGACGCGGAGACTTGAGAAGAGCGACTTACCTGCAATGGCCAATAGCTGGACCTACCTGAGAAACTTACAGGTCCGAAGATTGCGACTTACCTGCTGCCGACTGTCCACCGATGCCAAGACCGGTCAGGTCCCAGTTTGCCGGTGCGACCGATGAACGCGCTTTTCACCCTGTCGAACCGGGAGTGTTCCGGGGGCGCCAGGCCCGTAGTCGACTAGGGCCAACGAATGGAGATTGGCGGCCTCCGACAGATGGCTCGCAATGTTGAAAAGGAGCTCGATGAGGAGGGACGCAAGCAAAGACTTGAGAGTGGCGATGGTAACCGTGCAATGCTGCTGCACTCACTTTCCGGCCCGTTCAGGGTAGTGTAGTGACGATGGGAATGCTACATTTCCGCCCAAGAAGCAACGCGCTAGCCACTGAGAAAGGTGGTCGTCGTCCTGACACCGTCCATGCGTTGTTGCTGCAAACACCGACGCCCACTCTGCCTAGTCAGAATGTCTAGGAGACCGTGCCCAAGGACCGATTCAGACGTCGTCAACCGACTCCCACTCCCCGCTCTCCGACTTCCGCCACTCCCAGTCGAGTGTGAGCATGACGCGCCTCAGCACTGCCGAATGTTGCGAGAACGTCCCAAGACAGGTTTTCTGCCGCGCCTTGCGCAAGGAATGCTCTTCCAGTCCAACTACGCTGAACGAGTCGTCCTCAATATCGAGTTTCTCGCAGAGCAGGAAAGTGTGGAGTCGTGGCATGTGGGCGAAGAATGCCTGCCCGAGCAGGTCTGCGTGCCCTGCCTGTTGACATCAGAAGTGGATCAACACAAGTTACAAGAGCCCACGAGTCGCTCGAGGCACAGAGGATATCAGTATACGCACGTCGGGTTGTTCGCCATCTATGACGATCGTGAGTGTCTCAAGGGCTTGAATGCCATGCGGGAGGAAGAGCGAGGGCAAGTCTAGCAACTCGAAGCGCTTCATGGCAAAACTGAGGTGTGTCACGGGGACGGCGGAGTGGGACAGAGACGCGAACACGCGCCGCAATGCGGCGAACATGCGCGCTGGGTCGTCGGGTGCATGTCTCATGGCATGTCGACTGGCGTCCATGCCGTACTCTGCGTCCCTGCCGTACCCTGCATCATCGAGCACGACTGTGTGGATGGGGCGTCGCACGATATCGCGGTAGTTTGGCAAGAAGGCTGGCAGGTCTTGGTGTTTGCAGTGCAGCTCTTCCAGAACGGGGAACGCGGAGGGAGGCACTGTGGCATGGGAGTGGGGCGCCTCGGACGAGAGGTTGAGCTCGAGCTTGCGAACGCTGGGACTCGCGGGGAGGCGGGAGAGGTTGGTTTCAGAGGGAAGACAAAGAGTCCGAAGAACGGGCCACAAGTGTACTGACGAGAAGAACGGGGTTGTATCGAAGGAGTCGGACGATCGGTGGCTGAGTTTGAGCGTCTCAAGGCGCATGGCAGTGCTGCCTAGTAGGTGGGTGATGAACGCCGTCGTGTTGGGGGAAACGAGGGTTGGTAAGACCAAGTGGACAGTGTGAAGTCGGGGTAACAGCGGACAAAGGTTCGCAAACGGAAGGGATTCGATGTCATTACCAATCCATTGAACGGTCGGCATATACAGCTCGATGCTCTCCAGTGTCTGCGATGCCGTCGAGAGAAGCGCAAGTAGGGTACCGGGTTTGATGATGGAAGGCCGCAAGGCACTGAAACGCACCAGATTGGGCATTCGATACAAGCAGGAAGAGAGTATCTGGATCTCCGTCGGGTTGACAGCCCGTGCTCGCGATAGCGTTCTTCCCGCCGGTGTTTTCCGGAATATCCAGCAGTCGAGTTCGAGCTTGAGGGAGTGGACATGTTTGGCGAGGTCCCGCTCAAAGGCGCACTGTTTCGGCGTGAGTCTCAGCGTCCTGAGACAGTTCTCAACCTGAGCCCCGCTGCGACATCGATTTCGAATTCGGTCGGTTAGCATGATCGTGTGATATAAGCGGGGAGTAAGAAGCTTATTGAGAGAGGTGCTGGTCAGAAGGATGGAGCAATAGTCTTCGTTTCGAATCTGCTCTGCAATGTGCAGAATGAGCTCGATAGGAAAGCGTAGAATCTGCATAGGTGCCGCGTGAGAAATCCTCTTGATGGTGTTGAAGAAAGCGAGAATGAATGATGTCGATGCCCGCGGTGGGGAGTATCTGCACGTGGCCGCAGCCAGCTAGCCTTTGTCAGGTGTGACTCGTGTCAATTGCGAGTGCTGCTATGGCGCGTCTGTCATCTTGTGAGTATACAACTCTACATGAAGGACGACCCAGCCTACCATTAAGCCATCTGACTCGGGACGGTCGATCACCCTATGTATGCTACGAAGAGGGAAGACGATGTGCGCAGAGTAGCGCTGGCGCTGAGCACATCGTGGGCGTACATAGCACTATATAGGTACGTCATTTAGGGTAAAGTTTGAAAGTCGGAATAATGAACCCGGTGTTTATTAACAGGTTATTAACATGTTAATTAACGGTTCAAAAGCCCAGGGGTCTATCAGCCCGGTTATATATTGTTCAAAAGTCCGGTCGGAGGCTGTAGGCGTAAGATACCGAGTTCAAGATAGATGGCGAGGTTAATCTCCGTGCCTAAGGGCCTGTTCGGCAAAGAGTTGGAGTTAGAGTTACCGGCATTTCATGCCCAAATATAGTAATAGTATCTCGGTTTTCGATTTCGAGAGAACTCGAGTTACTCGGGCGAGCGCATGCGTTCGGATGCCTCCCAGCAACTCCGGGCGGTTGTTATCAGCTCACGTCGTAATTTGTCTTGAGGCTCTACCCTTTTGGCAGCCTGCTTGATTCTCTCTGTATAGAGTATTGGGATGGCTATAATGACCGGTGTAGAATGTGATCAGACATCTGCATCAGGAAAACATCACGGACTTGTACAGGTACTTGGGGTACTTGGCCAAGTACCTCAAGTATCCCAAGTACCTCAAGTACCCCAAGTCCAATGGACTTGGCCAAGTCGGGTGGGTCGACTTGGCCAAGTACCAGGTACTTGGCCAAGTCCTCCAAGTCCCTGTTCAAGTTCATGCCCAAGTTCACTGTGAGATGTATTGAATAAAGATGATATGCATGGAAGTCAATCAAAGGACAGCTGCTCTTGATCAAGGTCAAGTGTACAATATTTGTTAGCGGGTGCAGCGGCGGCAAAAAAAAA